TCAGCAAAGCTGTGTGTGCTGCAGCAAGAGTGACCTCATAATGAAAGGAAGCAGAGGGTGCCTGATGTGAATTTCTTTTAGTAAATCTTAACTCCTGCCAGTCAATTATGGCCATTGTGCTGAGGCTGGGACAGAAAATGTGTGTGATTTCTGTTCTGTAGCTGTACACTTCGATGGAACTGCATTTCTGAGCCTGATAGTTATGCTGCTGGTTAGGGAGTGAAATTAAATACTGTCTTGCAGATAAAACATTGTCAGTGTACCAATAAAGCTCCAAATGTCTGTCTGCTGCTTCTTAGCCATTTCATCTGGCTGCACTAGCAAAGTAATTCTCTTTATGTTGTTCCCTCGTTATAAATTCAGTATGATTTGAGTCTTCCTTGTATGCAGAGTAATGATGTGACGTGTGAACTGCTTATTTTTGAATGATTTGTGATTTATGGGAGCCTGGTGATGGAGAATTACATAAAAAGCCTTTGAGAAAACACAAGGTGTGAACCAAGAGAAAGTTTGCAGGTGTTTGCTGAAGACTTGGGAGAAATAAATAGCAAGAAGAAAGCTTGTTTTCCTACCAACTCTCTGCAGACCATTTTGTGTAGTATTTTGTGTAGCAGTATTTCATATGGCTCTCTGTAAGGCACAGTTAAAGCTTTAAAGAAAATATAGCCCCTGTGATAACTTCCACTAAAGATGTTCATATTTTGGTTTGCTTCTCTTCCTGAATGTAGTGAGCAAAGAGCAGTGACCACAGACCTTTGGCCTGCACAGCCCCAGCCTGGGGTTTGCAGCTCCCACAGTCATAGGGCAGGGTTTGAGGGCAGGGATGGGTTCTACTGCTTCCCTGGATCCACAGTTCTGTGTGTGAAGAAGGAAGGAAGCAGAAGCAGATGCCAATCAATCTTACTTTAATAAAAATGAGCACCCAAACCTCTGACTTTTGAGCCGAAATACTTGTAGGACTAAAATAATCTCCTCCTTGCTGATTTTTTTTCTAGATTACCTGCCTTAAAGGTGCTAGTTCAGGCAGCTCCATCCTGCAGCTGTTTTCTCAGAGCTCCTATTCATCTTTTCAGCAGCATTTTATAATTGATATTTTTTTCCCTTTTTGACATAAAATGGAAATATTTTCATTTGGCCAAGCCCCACCTTTCCTTTCCTATGTCCTGTCCCTTTATGTGTCAGACTGGTTTTGTCATCATCTTCTTCCTAATGTTTTTCCTTGTTAATTCCCATCCTGGATGCTGGGGGTTCCTGTTGAGGCAGAGGCAGAGGGGGAAGAAATCCATGCCAAAAACTGGAGGTTGGAAGGAGCCTGAAGGGAGGGCAGAGAGGGATGTTCTGCTGTTATCCACTGGACAATATAAAACATGCTGCCATTTCCCTGTTGCTGCTTACACTTTCATGTTGGCTTATAAAACCTGGGGGAGAAGAACCAGAATGAAAAGTAACATTTTTGTTCAGCTCTCTGTTTTTCAGTTTCCAGTGTGGTTTATGTGTGTACTGTCTGTAAACATGTGGATACACTGGGAAGGCTGCAAGTTGTCAAGCCTCAGGAATGGGCATTTCCTCTTCCAAATGTCTTGCTACAAAACAATTTCCCTTTGCTCCTTTCTGCCTCATTAGCTTCTGCGTTAACCTTTTTGTTTTGGACTCTGACATGGAGATGTGGATAGTTGCAGGGTGGTTCTCTTTTCTGCTCTGTGTGTGCAGCAGTGCTGTCATCGTGTTTTCCCTCTGTGCACCTTGGTGTTCTTCCCATCACACTCTGGTTTTCAGTGCTTCTCTTTGATCTGATCTCCTTCCTGGCAGTTGGTCCTGGTACATACACGTCTCATCTTTTCCTGAGCTACAACATGACCCCGACAGTGTTGCTCTTCTAATTGTCTCTGTGGACCTCTTGTTTTCCTCTCAGGTTGATACACTGACTGGTTCTGGCATCCTGTTTGCTTTCCCTGTTATGTTTTTAGTATCTCTGAGGTGGTAACTTGGCTACTGAAAGGATGGAATGATTAAAATGATGTTTTATGGATCATTGGGGGGGGAGCTGTCAGCTGCTTTTGTAATTTTTGCAGGAGATTATTAAAATGTATCTTACAGCTTCAGTATTCACTCTGTGCCGTCATTGTTCTCAGTCTTTCAAAGAACATTCTGGAAAATGAAGTTTTATCATTAAGATTGCATTAAAGTGGATTACAGAAAGGAAGAGCAAAATATGAAGAGTCTCAACAGCTCAGAACAGAAAGATGTTGGCATCTCATTCAGTGGGATGTGGAACAAGGAACATTAATAGGCTGATAAACAGAAATGACTTTTTCTCTTCAAGGCTTAAAAAGGTTTGCTTTGAACTCGCAAAGATTTTTTTAAAATGCCACTTCTCCAAGCTTGTGTGGAATGGAGAACTTTGGGCCTTTTATGTTACTTTATTTTTTAATGCTTGTGTTCAGTGAGCAATTACTTCTGAAGAGCCTTAGGTGTCACCAGAGTGGAAGAAGAGTGCCCATGTCCAGCTTTGACAGCATTGGCTGCTGGACACCTCCTTTCAAATCCTGTTTTGTGTCAGTAAGGAAAAGAACTTTCCTTTTGGATTTTTTTCTTATAGAGGCAGTTTATGTTGTATTTGGTGCAGTTTCTGGAAGGATTATCCATCCGTACTAGCAGAGGGAGAAAGGATCTCAATAATGTACTTTGGCATGGTGTGGAGAGTTGTAAGGAAGTTGAATTTCACGCCTCCCATAGCAAGGAAACCTATGGTAACAGTCAGTTCAGAGAGTCTGAGGATTGTCCCTGCTTTCGTAGACATTTCTGGCATTTAAATTTTATGTACATTAACATCATATTTGCTCTGAGGCTGCGATATAAACAGATGGAGGTGTTATTTCCATGCAGTGGCTGAGGAAATTGCCCATTTGTCTCTTTGCTTAACTTTTCTCATGTTTTAAACAGTTGTTTTCTAACCCAGTTGGGGAGTTTTGTATGTGGCTGAATGTCTGTGCTTTCCATGAGATCTGAATCTCAAATATTTTTCATTATTTCAGGAAGGAAAACTAGCACATGTCTCATTTTTCTTTGTGAATGTCAAATCAATCCTAATTTGTGGGTCCACTCTGCACCGGTCACAATATTAGGAGATTAGGAAAAAAGATTTCTCTGTTGTCTTATCAAAATGTTTTACAATAATCAGATGTGAGATTTTGGCTGTTTGGTTGTATTTAATCTTATGTTTGCATTTTGTTTCTTCTGTTCTGACTCTAATCAGGATAAAATTTCTGTGAGAGAGCAAATAATATTTGCAGCGAGGTTTCCACAGTGCAGGTTTTATTGAGGGTTTTGTTCTTGTGTTTACCCTCTGCCTAAAAAATATGATTATTGAACAATCTATAATGAATCTTAAGACAGAAACTGAGGTTACCTGTTCTGACCATCCATTCTGCCCTGATTTGGAGGCTGACCCATGTGCATGTTCCATCACCATAGATAGTGCTCCTGGGCACAGCTTCCCTCCTTGGCTGATTAATTAAAACAGATCCAAGGAAGGAGTGGTGCCCTGGTAATACAGTTAGCCCCTTTCAGATGTAGATGTGAAAGCCTCTTGATGAACTTTCCCACTTGAATACAACAATGAAGAGACAATTTCACAGTTCCTGATTATTAAATTGGTCTGTGAATGGTTCCAAATTGAACTGGAGCTTTAAACAGGTTTCTAGTTCACCTGGTGTTTAAAATACATATTTTCTTCTCTAAGGAGGAGCATTTTGAAATAGGGGAACAGTTGCTTAGGATTTTTTGTGAATTCCTACGTAAATTTCCCAAGAAATACCATTTAGTGACCTGACAGTGCAGGATATACTTGACTAACACTGAGAGTGCTTTCAAGGCAGTTTTATTCCCTTTTCTGTCTATCTAGATAGAACCTTAACAATAGTGCTATTTTATTTAAAGGCATTTTTATTTATTTTCTTTTCATTCTGATGATAAATAAGACCCCTCTGAAGCACTCATAAATTTTCCAGTGCTGTTTTTAGCATCAGAGGAACAAAGATCTTCTGTTCCTGAGTAAACTAGAGATGTTGAGTTTGATCTTTCTGGTTTGCTTGAGGGTTTTTGACTTGCATGCAATGCTTTTATTTCATGTTCTGCTCACTCTTTAAATACTTACTTAGTGCAGGCTTGGATAGACTTGTCACATTTAAACTATGAACCGACTCTAAACAATCACAAGAATGATTTATTTCTGTTTTGTCATTGATGGAGTACTTTACCAGCAGTTGATCTGTGATGAGCTACTTGATGTGAGCCTTGGAGCAGCTGTCCATTCATGTCCCAGCAGCAGACTGAGGGTTTGAAGGGCACACATGGAGAGCATCTCCAGGAATACTTGGATAATTGTGCATCACCACATCATGCTGCACAGAGCTGAGAAGAGCAGGGACAAAGCCACTCTGGTTTAATTGAGAGTCATGTCCACATTGCAAAAGAAGTGCTAATCACCTGGCCTCAGAAGACATTTCTCTTCCAATATAGGTTGCTGGCAAGAGCAATGTGCAGGTGGTGGCTATAATTACTTGCTGAATACTATGTGTCTGTCAAAGCAGATCATATTAAACCTCAGTTTTACTTCTACTTTGTTAGAAAAAGATGAAAAGATCCAGTAGAACCCAAGATTGTGCGTTGTTTGTCGAAAACAAGGCATCTTCCTCAAAGGCAAACTGATTGATTTTGAAATAGATATGAAATTATTTAAATGCTCTGTATGTGTGAGGTTCCAGTAATTGTCTTGTGCTGCACAAGAAGGCTGTCACTGGGATGGGTCTTCTCTCATATCTTTTTCTGACAACAGCTGATAATGAGACTGCAGCTACTCTCTTGCCAGTGGTGCAGGTGTAAGACGAAACGACACCAGCCCTGCTGTCCTGTGTCATGGTGATGCTTCTCCTCTCAGGTTTTTCTGATCTCTCTGAGGCAGTGGTCAAGAGTTCACAGGTGTGTATTGTCTCTCCTAGTGCCCGAATGCTGGAGAAGGCCCGGCAGCAGCTCCAGGAGGAACTACTGCGGATTCAGAGTCAGCTCTTGGATGAGAAGAAGAAACGTGAGCATCAGGAAGCGCTGGTCAGACGGCTGCAGAAACGTGTGCTGCTCCTCACCAAGGTGAGTTTCTAGATCATGCTTGGAAAAGCCCATGTTGTTATTTCTTTCCTCCAGGTGCAGTCATTCCTATTTCTTCTTTGTTCATCTCTGTAACTGGTACTACAAAGCTGCTGTGGGGTCTTCGCATAGTGGGTGCTAGAAGGGACATGAAACTTGTCTTTAGGACTTCATTGTTATGGACCTCACAGCAACCTTCCAGAATCTGAAAGGCCTACAGGGAAGCTGGAGAGGGAGACTTGGTTAGGAACTGCCATGACAGGACAAGGAGCAATGGGGATAAATTGAAAGATGGGAATTTAGATGCTAGGAAGACGTTTTTGCTGTGAGGGTGGTGAGACACTGTCCCAGGTTGCCCAGGGAGGCTGTGGCTGCCCCAACCCTGGCAGTGTTCACAGCCAAGTTGGCTAAAGCCTTGAGCAACCTGCTCTGGTGGGAGGTGTCCCTGCCCAGGGCAGGAGGTTGGGGCTGGTTGATCTCTAAGGCCCATTCCAACGCCTTAACAGTCTATGAAACTACGGAATAAAAGTACTAGTGCCTCCTAAAGCTTTGCTAGTGTTCCCCCCATTTGGGCTTGTGCTGTGCTGTTGGTACGTGACTTCGTCTCAGGCTTGGCATCTATGTGAGGGCAGAGAATTGAATCATGTTGTTGCTGGAGTGTTTTGAGCCACTGAAGAGAATTTATAATGGCTTTGGCTGCATTGCCTCCTTTCCTAAAGAGAATGAAACGACGGCACCTTGTCAACTGTTCCTGTGGAAAAACAATTTACAGAGAGTAAGAGATTTGCCTTCCTCTTACACTGGAAGTCTGTTGGAAGGTAATGGCAGGCACTAGACCAGTAAATTGAAAATACGTTTTAAGATTCGTTCTATAGGATATATCAGGGAAGTCTGCATTATCCTATATCAGGTGTGCTCTCGTGATGAAATTCTATAGAATAATTTTGAAGTCTGTAGAGCATTGAAAATTTTATATTAAATTCTGAGAGTGCTCTTTTCCCAAAGGGAATAATAATTCACTAGAGCCAGAGAGATAGTTACTTCACTTTCCAAGAATACTACTTGCAAAACTTCCTTCATCTGAGCAATCCCCCTGATGTTGTCAAGCTGCTCACGTAAGTGAGCTTAGGTGTGTGCAGAAGGTCAGACTCTAGTAGCTGGAGCTCATGAGAGGAGCCATGCACAGCACTGTGTGGGGAGGAAAGAGGGAGAAAAACTGTTGTGTTGTTGGTGCTTTAAGCTTAAATTTTCAGTGTCAACGAAACCATTTGAATCGATTTTAATTGTGCTGCACCCAGTTCTGTGTAATGCCATGTCATTGTTGAGCCGAGGAAGCTGTGATGGATGGTGTGGTATGCTGGGCTCTTGAGGCATGAAGCAGCCACTTTACAAGAGGATATTCTATCAGATCTTCCGACTGCAGAATTTGATGCCATGGAGAGTCACATAAGTGAGAAGAGAAAAATGACAGCAGTTCTTTCTGCTTCACACTGAGGCAGGCACTGCAATCAGGGTGGATGGACCAAACTCTCTCCATGGAAACAGAAAAGGCATCTCTTCTGCTCAGTCTTTCTGCCACCCCAGCAGCAGACAGCCCTCCACAGTGCTCTGCTTTGGTACTGGCATGGCTGGATATGACACAGATGGATACTGAGCCCAATAAAAACCTTCCTTTACAACCTTCTCAGCTGTCTAACATTGTTCTGGACTGCTCAGCCCTGAAGGAAGTTTCTCAGATGGTTTCTAAAATATTCCCTTTGTTAACTTATTTCTAGTGCTCAGCACAAACGTGTTTTGTCACAGAACACAAAATACCGTTACTTTTCTCTAAGTACAGGACAAAAAGACAACAGTACTTTGTCATGTAATGGATTGTACTCTAATTTATATAGAAAGACAAAGCCTTTGCTTTGTTTGCTGTCCTCCCCCTGAGGAGGAGGAGGGGAAAAGCTGGAAATGTCTTTCATCAGACCATGGCAAATAAACTTGTGTTTTGACAGGGGAAGTTTTCAGTGTGCTCAGTGATTCCTCAACTGACCTGTTTTAAAGGAATAAATGCTTTGCTGTTCTCTGAAAATTTATATTCCATCCAGAGAATGCTGGGATCCTTTGTGGAGAAGTACATGCATTATGGTGCTTGGACAATCTACCCTTGGCACTGTTCCTCCTGCTGGTTGCTCTTCTCATGCAAAATCAAAAGAAGGGATTTCATTTAATTAAAAAAGTATGATATTGTGATTTAAAATGAGATTGAGCAAATATATTGCCTGTCAAAAATAATTATTTTACATTGAAAGCATATCACCTAGAATGGTATTTAATCATCTAATTAGTGGCATCAGTAGTACAGCATGCTTCTATGTAATTTGAGAATGGAAAAGATGAGTTCTCTCTATTGAATCTTTGCCTTGTTAAATAGGACTGTGAAAATCTAATTTGGGGGAGACTATTATATATATGATTGAATTGCTATTGCTTTTGATAGTATGACTTTTGCATTTGTGTATGTTTGACCCTCTAGGAGGGCAATGAATCTGTTCCTGTATGCTGAGCAAATAGGGACTGAAAGGCATCAGACGTGTTTAACAGTGCAAGTTTAATGCAGTAACAGTTGTTCTTTCTTTGGGCTCAAATTGGAGCCTGGAAGTCTCAGGCCTTGAATATGTTCTAAAAGATCAATAGAAAATGATAAGTTGTTCTTCATTTGGTAACAGCAGCACCAAATATTTCAGGAGTAAATGCACTCTCTTCAGGAGGTACTTGCTTTGCCAGTGTGATTTCTTACTTTTATAGCTGCTGATTTTTTCCCCTCCAGATTCAAGCAGTACTGTGTGTCTCTTACAGACTGCCTGTCTCACTCCTTCAGTCTTTTTCCATTGCTACTTGCCACAGCCTCTGTCTGGTTGCTCTCATATTTCCATTTCAGTGCATTTAACTTCTCTGTCCATTGCTTGCTTCCTCACCTCATTTGCTTCTTTTGGGCTTTCTTGATATTATTTGGGCCTTTCCAGTTGGTTTACTGCTTGGATCAGGCACAGTTGTCAGGCTGGGGTACCTCAGTGCATCACTCCATCTCTCTCTTCCTTGGCAGACCTGAAGTCAGTGTTCTCCATCCTCTGACATGTTAGTGCAGTGGCCCAGTCCCATCAATTCCACCACTGACAGTGGGAGTTGCGTCCTGATTATTCCAGTTGACAAACTGCTGTTTAGAACATGTTGGTTGATTCCTTTCTCCCATATATCCTTCTAAATCAGGACAGTGCTGAAGTTTTCTGCTTTACATGTTTTCAGTGAAATGTAAGACTTGATTTGGACACCACTGAGGCTTTGAGACATTGATGGCCAGAAGGTTTCTCCTGGAGTGTCACTCTCTTCACTTAAGGTGGTGGAACACAAATTGATGTCTGAAGGGATATATTCACTTGTTCTTTCAGAGATCTGCCTAGCTGGGTTTGCTGTCTGTTCCGCTGTCTTTTTGCTTTGTCTTTGCTCAGAGTTTTAGGGAAATCTTTAATCTTTGCTTTATTACCCGAGGTAGTTGTGATACAGCAGTACTGGGAGACACCCAAAATTCTGGGGAAAGACCTAGTCCACCTCTGCCCTTTTTCCTATTTGATTTACTGCTGCATTTCCTCTGATTGTCATGTTTACCCACACAGTTTTGTATTTGACTTTTGTGTGGTCCTTAAGCTTGTAAGTATTTCTCTTTTTCTAAGAGCTTTGCTCACAACCCCTGCTCTTTGTTTATGAAGTAGTCTTGTTCAAAATAGTCAGTTCTGCTACTGAATGGCTAAAATTTGAATCTCTTAGGAGATTTATATGACATGTAGGTCTCCCAAAATAAAAACCCTTTCTGAGAATCCTTATCTGAGAGCAAACAGCTGACTGAGTCAGTATTTCACAGAAAGCAAGCTCTGGTCTATTTATTTCAGGAGGGCAGATTTCAGGGAGCACAACTGGGCCTTGTGCAGCACGAGTGAGGCTGGAGAAAAGCAATATAATGGCACACTGAAGAGGTCTGAAAGCCTTCTGATGTGCAGGGCCAAAGGTTGGCTTGCATGGATCTTTTTAGGGCTGTCATTTCCTCCTTTCTTGGTGTGATTTTACCTGGTAGTGATCAGCCCTTACTGTGTTCCTTACGTAGCTGCTGTCAGGGCTCAGACCTGCCGGACTCTTCCCCTGCACATGTTCAGTTCAGTGACACCTTAAAGCAGTGATTTTTCTGTGCCCAGAGCAGGTGAACATACCTGCATGAAGCTGCAGATTGAGTAGGATCAGCCCACACCACGTGCAGCAGGTTTGACCAGAGACAAAGTGCCCTTCATTTTCCATTCTGTGTGTGATCCTTTGCGGGAAGCTCAAAACTCAAAATGTGAAGCCCAATTTCAGTTAAATTCTTGTAACTTATTCCAAATGAGTTCAATTTACTTCTCAAAATGTAGATCTTGTGAATGCACACTGCCATAATTGCATCCCTTGCTCTCATCTAAGGCATAATCCAGTGACTGAACTAATCTGCTTGTACTGGATGTTGTTGTTTCACTATGTTTATTTCCTGTCTGTGCATTTCTCTGCCTTTGGGTACTCCATTGCCCGGAGAAGAGGCTGAAAAAATCCCTTTTGTTTCCTGAGCTTTCAACCAGATCATGTGATGTGATAGGAAATCTGTTTCTATTGAGACATAATTTAGGCCATCACCATAAAAGTTGGAGATTAAACAAGTATTGATTAACCAACTCCAGCTGACTGTTGATACCACATGTTCCTGGAGATATCAGTCAGTGTGAAGTGTATTAGTGACTCCCAGAGCTGAGAATGGCAAAGATGCATCAGAAATGGGACTAGGTAATTAAACTGTTCATTAAGCATGGCAGATGCAGAGTTCATGACTTGATTTGCCATCTGCTTTGTTTTGTAAGCAGTAAAGATTTAAAATAATGCTGATGGCTTCTCTGTCATATTGGGTCCTGCATTATGGTTTTTCTTGGGAGGTAGATAAATGA